GACATATCAAAAGACCAAGGCAGCCATGTTTTCGAGGGCGAACCCGTATTATGCGGCAGGGAAATCATTCAATGGTATCGGGTGAGTTTAAGTCGAAGCGCCCCCTAGGAGACAGTATGACGATGCTAACCACAAGAACATAGTGGCCCTCACGTCAATGCCACTTATCCTTGGCCCATGAGCCAAATCTCGGGCATATTTGGCACCGACGACGATAACGAGATCAAGCAGCGACTCGCGACTATCTTGGAGAATACTAGCGGATTGGGACTGATTCACGAGAGCGTCAACATTTACAACACGAGCGTATATACTCGTCCGTGGTTCGCATGGGCAAATAGCTACTTTGCGGAGATGATCCTGGACCTGGCGGAGCGTAAGCCACATTTGGTTTTGAAGTCTGGGAAACCGTACAAGATTGGGCAGTAATTTGCCGTACGCCGGGGCAAAGCTGTTTAGAACACTAATGATGCTTATGATTAATGCAAGAACATGCAATACTTCTTTGACCTTGACGAGATCGTTTGACATTTGACTGATGGTATGTTATATGGCGGTAAACCAGGTTCAACAAGGCACTAAAATTCCGTGCTTCGAAGATTCCCTGCCACTGCGAAAATGCAACGTCTTTGCCTGACCTCGATAAAAGCTGGTATAGGTAGAAAAGAGGCTATGGAGGGTACCAGGTTTGAAATTGGTGCTTGCATAGTCGTAGTAGCTGCGAACGATGCCTACCGAAACCCTAGCCCTTATGAATTAAATGACCAGGAAAAGCGATAACCACACGCAGTAACTTTGTTGGTAACTCTCTAATATAAAATGAGTATAAGAAAAAAAACAAAGTATTTTCAGGCCACAGATACGGGTGCCTCGCGACCGTGAAATAAAGGCACGGATTAGAGAATAAAACGCGCGGCATGAGAATCGCGCCTCCATCATCAATGCAACACCAGCCCCCACTCACATTTGTAATAAAGATCCTGGAGCAGGTGGAAACCTCGAAGGATCTAGCTGCGCTGTGTTCCGGTTAAAGACGAGATGGATATGGCCCAAGCGAGAAATAAGCATACAAGATGCCGGCAGTGCAGCAGTTGGCGTTCAAACAGAGTACATGTAGTTTTTTTTTATCGTAAAGATGGGATAGAGCAAAAGAGGAAGACAACATTACGAATTTCTCTCTCTCTCCCTCTCTCTCTCTCTCTCGTTTAACATCATCATAAGCGTGTGGAAACTGCCTTTACTGCATGTGTCTATGATTCGCCCGAGATGTTTGCTTATTTCATCTATAGCTAATCTGATAGTAGATCGTTTTCAGTGTCCAATTGTCAACGGCTAGCAGTATTTCTTGCATTGTAGCACCCATTTACAACTAGCATACTCTCTTTGAAATGCCACTTCACCGGCATTGTAGCATAGATCTCGCTCATGCGCACTAGTGCACGCCCAGAAATCGCCAAGCTGGCCATCGTGCTTGGCTCAGCCTTATTCTACGATGGCAATCTTGAAAATTGTGAAAGGGCGCGCTAGCACTTAAGGGACATATCGAAATGGTCATTGCGTAGACGGCTGGCGAAAGAGTTCGTGGTCACTGGTAATTGTTTGCGTCGGTATCGCGAAGTTATGGATTTGCTGTTCTTTGCCTCTAGGATCATCGCAAGATAAGCTCAATTCGTATAGCTCAAGGCCAGATCACATGCCAACAATTGAAAACAATGCGGGGAGCAAAAAACGGCGATTTAGGCGTTGTTCAAGAAAAGGACGGGGACAAAGGATAAACGGTTTAAACTGGCACTTTCTTCATTCAGCCAGCCTACCGTTGTGAGTATTACTATTCCGTATTGTCTCTTCCTTCTCATGAGCAAGAATGTGTTTGTTTATCAGACAAAGGAGCATTTGCGATCGTAGTGCTGATGAGCCTCGGGTAAGGACCCCAGCTTCGTTTTAACCATTTTATGCATAGTTGAGTGTAAATAACTCCGTAGCGCCATACATGGTCGCATTGAGTCCTACCCTGCCAGGATATTTCAACACGCAGTCCTACTGCTACCTACACCACCACAACATCCTAGTACGACCAGGACGAAATAGCCGTGGCGGCTTAGGCGCAAACAAAATAAAGCATGAAACGCTGAAAGGAGCAGCCTATTTTTATGCCGTGATTTTAGCTGCGCTGCCGACTTCCATTTGGGGGGATCAATTCCCGGCACTATGCAAAAGGGCCCTGCACAAAGCCCTAGCTAGCTATCTTCAACGATTGCTATGTCTGAGACAAGCCTGCAGCAGAGCCAACTATGTTGCGAATTAGTAGTAGTATCCAAATTTTCGCTGCCATGCCAGAGTATCCACAGATTTTGGTTAAACCTGCTTTGAATACACACTTTGCTTTCTGACTCTAGGTCAGCATCAACTTAACTTATCGGTTCATCAGTAGGTAGTGGGAAACCTGACAAGGCCTAGGCTTACCCAGGACGCAGGAGTTACTTCAGACACTTCCCCAGCTTGAATATGTGCTCTGCATGTATAAATTTAGCTGGTAAAATAAGGCTTTAAAAGCAAGATGGAGAGGGTGCGTTCAGAGCCGCCCGAAGGCCTCTGTTCTTCCTACGATGAGCCAATTAGAGGCTGCGCTCCACCAAAGCCGCTATGGAGAAGCCAAGCGCGAAACAGGATTTCTCTGTTTCTTTTCCCTTTCTGTTTCCTTTGCTCGAATGTTATCTTTTATCGTTAAAGGAGCCCAACTAGTCTGCTCCTTGGAGGCTATACCTATAAACAAATCGGCATCTCAGTGCCGGGACCAATACTACCTTCCAGAACCGCTGCCGAGAGTCTTGTTTACTTTTATGAGAGCTCTCTATTTGGCGCTCTGGCAAGTCCAGCTTCACGCCCCGCAATGTCCGGCCACCTACCATTTTTGTGTAGCTCGCTTGGCCTGGTTAATACACGATCTACGGGTAGCGGGAAGCCATCGCCGCTTGGCGCTTTGGGGCGAGTTATTACTCATTTGTGTTAGTGCTGCTATACAACATATGAGTTGGGGGGCACCATATCATTTCTTGAGTTGCAGTGTGAGGATACCACCTCGTACTGCGATGGACCGATGAGAGAGGCTGGCCATCGGGCAGATGAGTAGTAGCATTACCACCTTGAGGTCTGGGCACTAGATCCGAATTATCCGACTATGCCAGGGGTGAATAACTCTGGATTGTAAGCTTGGTTAAAGGCGTATGCAACTTGTTTGGCCAGGAGACGCTAGAGCGCTTCTGAAGGTAGATGGTGTGGCTTGGAGCGGATCTTAAACTCCTTGATGCCTTGACGGATGAAAGCCAAACAGGAAGGTGAGGGCTGTCGTCATTGGATCTTTTGAAGCCTACTTTTGAAGCTATCTCGAGTCTTTTGCCAGAGCAGCCTGCCTATCAGCTTTCGAGTCCGTATCTATGCTCTCTCCGTTGGCTGCAAAGGCCAACCCCGTCATGAACTTTTGAGCAAGCATGTGAGCTAGATAGCACTGAAGATGGCTTCGATTAGCTCCCGTTGTCTTGGCATGCCGTGATAGAGGAGGTATACTACTACTCTGCGTGCTCGTGAGTTGCTGGAAGAGGAAGTAGAATCACGAATTGAGGCTTGGCAGAGGCATTCAGGCATCAGTGGTCAACAACCTCCTTCCAATTCGAAGAATGTAATCCGGGATACCAAGCATAATGGAAGCCTATGATGGTTTAGAGAGTATGAGGAGATGTGCCGGTTACCGTTCTTGGCGTTGAAGCTTCGAGATATATATAAAGGTTGGCTAGATGCCATCGTCAAACATTCTTTTCTCGTCAGCACTCAGCTCCAAAGCCAATCTTGATCTCAAAAAAGAAGAGTCTAGCAGCTCTCCAATCGTCGCCATCATGAAGTACTCCACCGTTCTCCTCGCCGCCGCTGGCCTTGCCGCCGCTGCCCCCTCAAACATTTCCCCCAGGTTTGGCCGCCGCAACGGCGCCCACTCTCTTCCCAACCAGAGGAACACCAAGTACCCCCAGTACTCCTCCAACTGGGCTGGCGCTGTCCAGATCGGCAAGGGCTTCAACAAGGTCACCGGCACAATCACAGTCCCCCGTGCTTCGGGTGGTTCCGATGCTGCCGCCTCTGCCTGGGTGGGAATTGACGGAGATACATGCCAAACCGCAATCCTCCAGACTGGTGTCTCTTTCTACGGTGATGGCAGCTTCGATGCTTGGTACGAGTGGATTCCCGACTACTCGTACAGCTTCTCCAACTTCAACCTCAAGGTCGGCGACGTGATCCGCATGACCGTCGATGCCACGTCCAAGACCAAGGGCGTTGCCACTCTGGAGAACCTCACCACCGGAAAGTCTGTTTCCCACACCTTCACCAACACTCCCTCAACCCTTTGCGAGACCAACGCGGAGTGGATCGTCGAGGACTTTGAGGAGGGCAGCAACCTCGTCCCCTTTGCCAACTTTGGCTCCGTCACCTTCACCAACGCCACTGCTTCTGGCTCCTCTGGCACCATCACCCCCAGCGGCTCCACCATCATTGATATCAAGAGCTCTTCGGGCGAGGTCCTGACTGACTGCTCCGCCAGCAGCAGCGGTGTCACCTGCAGCTACACCGGTTAAAAGGTCAGCTGAAGGATAAAACGACGTCAAAGAAAAAAAAAGGAGGATAAATTGGGAAACAACGTCAAACGGGATATCTCTTGTTTCGCAGAATGGGAGGGCTGTGAGTGTGCTATGGTGCATGCACTGGTTGAAAGATGAGTGTGCACATCACTCAATTGAGTATATATTTTCTTCTATAGTCAATATATTGGACCCCCAGTTTTATATAGCCCCATCGTACTATTGCCGCTTATTTGTTTCTGCCAAAGACAACTCGTATGAACCTAATTGTACAGTTTGGCAACGATGCCTTCTACTATTACTCTTTCGCCTTCAAAAGCGCACGAACCCGAATTCATTTATATACGCATCTCTGGCATTGTAACGTGAATGTTCGCGAGTCTGGCCGAGTGGTTAAGGCGTTGTGTTTAGGTTGGTTCGTTGAACTGAGAATACTTGATCCGCAATGGGCATGCCCGCGTAGGTTCGATCCCTACGGCTCGCAAAACAATTTTTTTTTTACCAGGTGTGATTTTTGAAACTTTTGGTTGAATATATATTGAAGATACTTCGTACACTACGATATGTTTGCAAGCTAGCGTTGTCCCTAACGTGGCGATTGTTTCGGTGGCGTGTGTAGTGTGCGCACCAGCATTCTCTAATTTACCTCTCAACGGGAACTTCACTGTTGTATTTATCCAGTGATTTAATGTTCTACGCATGTATACCAAAGATGGCAAATTCATAATGTCATTAATGTATCTATATGGTATTTTGAAACAATGTTAATTACATGGCTGGCAACTAGCTACTACTCTTATCACATCTGACTGCCTGCTTCATTATAAAGAAAATGAAAAGGGTTCCATCTTTAATGCTCGCCCTAGCAACTCGCATGTGATTATATATAACTATCAATCGTAGTCGTTGGAGTTGCCGTCGTCGATGTTAAAAAAACATAAAACCTTGAGCTAATCTTGACATCAATGTTTCTTCTCTCCGTTTCATGACCCTCGCATAATTTTCGTCACTTAAATCCGGCGTCGGCTCGTCACCATCTGTCTCTTTATCGTCATCACCTTCTATTATGTGCCATTTGAAGTCAAATTTTCATTTAATGATTTCTTGCTCATCGAAGAACCCGGTAGTATATTTTCAGCAAGAAGATCCCTCCAACTCGGTAGCAGTTCTAGTAGTTGGAAAACTATCTGGTTATCTATAAGTAGTTCATGTGATCCTTCCAGTGTTAGAAGACGCATTTTTCAGCTTCTTTTTCAACATACCAAATACTTGGATGCAGGTCAAATGTACATTGAATGAATCCGTGGGGTTTGTTTTCAATGTCTCCCATGGCTTCTGCAAAGCCGTCAACTCTGTAAAATCTACGAGTCAGCGTAAAGAAATATCAGCATATAGGCTATAGCAATGATGCGCCTCTTCGTCAAGAAACTATGCTCAGAATATTCTTTGGCTGCCACGATTTCCCATGCGGCTTGCCATGTAGCATCACGTTAGACAATCTGCTGAAAATTCTCTGAGCATTTTTCAGGTGCCTCTTAACATGGTACTCTATTTACGGTTGAGTGTTTTGTACTACATGAAACTCCGCGGAATCCAAGGTTCTCTCAGGGCAAGTGCTTTTTCCTGAAGCGAGGATGGCACCTGACTGGCTCAATACTGATCCCACTCAGTAGATACTTGAAAGTTTAAAATACCAATCGTCGTTTCCTTAATGTCAGTTCGACGAGTCTTGGCATTTCCCGGATTACTGTTCCAAATACTCTATGATCCATATACATGGCGCCGGTCTTGTCGAATTTTGGCCATATTTCTTAACTTTTCTGCCAATATATGTCGAGCTGAGTAAATGGTTGTGATTTCAATGTGTCAGCACCAAGGCTAGCTCTTTGTGTGACCAAGCGAAGCTCTTTAGCATGCTCGGTGTCATAGATATTTGCTTGATGGGCAATTACCTTCATCTGCAGCAATTGTGACAGGAGGCAGACGTGTAATTCTTTTCGAAGGAGAATTCTAGATGTCTTGTTCATGGCTCCAGAAATTTCAGCGAGTAAATTCGCTTTGCATAGTCTCTCTAGCTTCTTAATCAAGGGCCGCAGGATGTGTCCTTGACGAATTGTGCCTTGGTAGTCAAAGAACCAAGCCGGGTAGCCGTATGTTATGATTTGCAAAATTTTAAAAACATAGAGTTGTCGCATTCTGAATAAATTGAGGCCTTATGTGGAACCAGAGACACACTTCATATAGCGTCTCTTTTTTGCCACTTTGTCCAAAACTAAGTCAACGTGATGTTTTTATGAAGGCCTATTATCTACTCAAATACCTATAATTTCTAGATACTCTTTCTCAAATAGTTCTTTAGCAGGAGGTAAGTTGTCGATATTCGGAAAACACTTGACACTGCCTGATTTTGTATTGGGAGGAAGGAGGTGTAATAAGCCATACAGCATCCTTGTATAAGTTTTGCCATGTCTAGATTTTTTTCTCAACAGATCGCTTGGTTTGATATTAAAGTTGATGCGTGCGTGGAATGCCTCTCATCAGCCAAAGGAGTTCGGAAGCGGGTCTTGTATAGCAACCAATCCCAGGGATGCTCAATACCAAGCATATATTTTTTGAAGATTTTTCGTCCGGCTGGGAGAGCTTTTGAGATTAACTTGTGCTATCAGCATCCTTCTGGTAGAACCCGGTTCTATAGTATGATGGACATTGAGCTTCTTTTGGTTCGAAGTTTCCGTAGAAAAACACGATGTGACTTTTCGATATGGTAATAGATTCTGTACAATTTACCTGATCAATATCATCTTGTTCGTGTTGACTTGTGGCGGCTTCAATACAGGGGCACATGCAGGCTATCCAATCTCAAGACTGTGATTGGAATTCGGCTCTGGGTCTAGTATATTATCGAGCTCCTCGGCAGAATTGTCATCTTTGTAGTTGTCGTCTGCGTATTCGTGATTTTCAAATTGCGTATATTCGAATTCGGATTCTATTTTAGAATATGTGTTATATTGATCGTCAAAACTTGACATGCTCAACGTTGATTCAGCGTCCTACAGCAGGCTGTTTGGTTTGACGGCAAAATTTGTGGTGTATCAAACATTCAACGGCTAACTCGCAGTTCTCGCCCCGAACGCAACTTGGCGCCACGCTGCGCCCACTCCGAGTCCACAGCAGTTGCGGGAACATTGAAACCAACATGCAGCAGAAACTCTCCGTAGAGTCCGCCCCACCGTCGCCGCTCTCCGCCCCTCAGCATTGAAGTGTGCAGCGTGAGCTGGGGAAAAAAAAAAAAAAAACAGACACAGCTGCGCGCTTGGAGATGAAAAGCATTCGGGCAATAGTCAGTCGCAAGACACATGCATGTCTTTATCCTACTTTTGATTATTGTATTGCTTGTCCTCATATCCCCATCTCTTCCCCTCGTTTTCAGCAACCCGTCGTCTTTTTTGGGTGCTGGTGATATTGCTATGGGCCGCCAACTATAAAACTAAATGGATGGCTGCATTACATGCATGTACACTCACACACCACCATATGCGCTGCATTACAACATCCGATGCGTGCATTTCGATTTGCTCTTCCTGTATTTATCGGTAAGACGATATTTTTAGGCAGTCAATTTGTTCGTTAACACACCAGACCACTGTCAGTACCTTCGATCCTAGATGTATTCTATGAATACAGAATGACTTCGGTGTAAGTGGGCAGAAACCCTCGCATTGAGACTGCGGCACGTAACTGGCGACGAGGCATTATTTAGCTGGCAACCCTCTCCGGCATCTGTTGGAGCCGCGCCGCACGATGTCACCCACCATGATGGCATGTGCCCTTTAAACTGATTCCAGAACAGACTTCTCCGGAACATGAATCCTGCATAATTGGTGCAACTGACTCCATGCATCGAGAGCAAGGCAATACCAGTCGCACCTACGACACAGAGATGAAGCCATTTCATTTATAGATGGCTCTGGGGGTTCTGGGATATACGATATAATGTCGTTATTCGTAGCTATCTGAGCAGTGTAGTAAATACATGTGATAATAATAATAGTACTAGTCAAAAGCCATACATCTCATGATTCTTCATCAATATTTCCCCGTTTATACATATACAGTCTTCATGTTCTCAACATCTCTCCCATGGTTATCGTTTACCCAGACAACGCTTTCAACACTACGCCCGTCATTGCAAGCACCTTCTCCTCCTCCAATCTCCGCGCCACCAGCTGTAAGCTAATGGGCAGTCCGTGCATCAACTCAGGTTCATCTACATACCATCTCTGTTAGCATCAAAGTTACTTGTAAATGTTCCGACCAAAAGCCGGTTATAATATAGCACTTACAAGTCGCGTGGATATCTTTACAATCGTTGCTGAGGGGCGCATAGTCAGGCTCTTCTAAATCGACGCCTTCAATAACATTTAAACCGGTAGGGAATGATACGGCAGAGTAGTCTAGTACATTGTAGACTCCAGTGTATGCAACTAGCAGATTTCTTGTCAGCGAACCATCAAAAATATAATAGAAATCAGCCAACAACATACCATGCTTAAAAGTTCCATGCTTGACAGTGTTAAACGGTATTGTGGGTAGCAAAAGAGCATCGAGACCCGCCTTGTTCCATCTATCCAGATGTCGGTTCTGATAATCCGTCCTCTCCAAATGCAGCTTCCACATCTCTGCAGTACCCAACTCCCTCGCCACAGAGTAGGGATACATCTCGCTCCTCCATGGCTCGCCTGTAGGATCAAGCTGCGACTTGATAGTCAGGCCACCGTCAGCCACAAACATCCGCTGCAGCAACAGGGCTCCCTCAGCCTGGTCAAAATTGTCCCACTCCACAATCTCATGACCAGCTGCCTTGAGCTTGGCGACTGTGTGTTTCAGGGCCCGAGTTACAGGAGCCGTAGGTTGGACAACGCCGTCGTGCCACATGACACCGATCCTCAGCTTTTGGGGCAGCTCAACGTCTCTCCAGGGGATTGGCAGACACTTGGGATCTCTCAGCCATGGCTGGCCGTCGATGACAGATTTGCTATATAGCTTGACGTCCTCGAGCGTAGGAGCCAAAGGTCCATTAACAGACGCGACGGCTTCCTGGCCAGGCATGCCAGATCGGCAGTTTCGCACGGGAAACCGGCCCGCTGAAGGCCGAAGAGTGAAAATGCCTGTGCAAGCAGCCGGAATCCGAAGAGAGCCGCCGATATCAGACCCAACACCAATGGGGCTGCCCTTCATGACAATAAGGGCAGACTCTCCGCCGGAGCTGCCACCACTCGTCGTCCGTCTGTTTCTCGGGTTCAGCGTGCGCCCAAACACATTGTTCACCGACTCGGCAATCATCATGGCCGTGGGCACATTCGTCTTGACGTAGAAGACGGCTCCGGCCGCCTCCAGTACCTCGACCAGCGTTGCGTCTGACTTGGCGGGGTCGCCCACATGCGTCGCTATGCCCACGGTAGAGTCAACGCTCTTGACATTGAT